TCAAAGGTTTCTCATCCGTGTCGGATGGGAGGAAACTGCAGCCATTTTTTTCCACTTCCGTAGGAGCTTCCTTTCCGCTGTAAGATCTCTGGGTTTGCAGATGCCAGTGTTGCAGATTTCCTTCCCGTTGCGATCATTTTCTTTTTTGGCATCTACGCTCAACAATATGTTAAACCACGGAATTTAGAGCAATATTCTGTGTTTTTTTTTTTAGCTTGTTGGCTAGATGTTTAGTATTAGACCTGAATAACTTTTTATTTAACCTTGAGGAATGTTTCGGTTTCTTTTCTGCACATTTTGGAAAACAGCATGAGTGTTAGCTATTGTGTTCAATAAATCATATAACAATGGCAACTTGAATTTGGGGACAAATAGTAATAAGAGAGATCAATTTGGACCCATGCAACATAAACATTATTTCTGTTTTGTATGGAAAGGGCCAGCTGCAACTCTTTTGAATAGAGGGATGCTTGCGGGAGTGGATGTCGGGTGAGATGTTGGTGATGATGGAGAGTTGGGAAAATGGCGTCTTGCAGGAGTGGATGTTGGTGATGATGGAGAGTTGGGAAAATGGCGTCAGCGATGAGGGCAACTAGATGAGTTGGTTAGGTGGACACAATGACGAATGCAACTATCTGTTGAGAATGATGGATCTGAAGAGGATGGTCATGATGAAGTGGTCAAAATCCTTAAGGATGATGGATTTGAAGAAGGTGATAACTAAAATGACAATGCTGACTATGGGAAACATCTTTGGGCTTTCCAAGAAAACCCCAAGCTGTTAAGATCATGCCTGAATCATTTTGTTTGGATCTGTTTTTTAATTTTTCGGTTATTTTTGAACATCTCTTTGGCAAGCAAAAGAAGTACATAGTAATGATTCTACAATCCCAAGGTTGACTCTCAAGCCTGAGTTTTATTCATCCAACATAACCTTCGACGACGATGATTCTATAAATTTGTGTGATCTTACAGGTGAATGTGTATTTCTGGTCTGCACTTATTTATTTTTATATCATATTTTCAGTTAAGCTATTTCATTGTTTTTTTCTTTGATCTTTTCTAATTTGATTGAGTTCTTACTGTGTTTGGTAGACAAACCTCATTGTGCAGTCAAAGAAAGACAAAGGTATGGTCTTGTCGATCAAATAGCATATGCCTTGTTATAGACTTGATAAATCTTATAGAAAAACAATGGAGAGTGATGAAAGAAGTAAATTCAAGCAGGTTTTGCGATTAAGAAATAGTATGATCAAAGAAAAACAATATTTGAGTAGTGGTGGACATACCAATCCACCAAAAGGTAATTAGTCGCAAGTGATTGTTCAAAAATAAGTATAGTTCTATTGAATCTAAGGATATTAAATTCAAATAAATACTGATTGCAAGGTGCTTCTTATACGAAGAATGTGTGAATTGCAATGACATATCTTATCCCACTGTGAAGCACACATCAATTATAATCTTGCCAGCGGTTTTACTTGATTCAGTATGTTGCTTGAAAAATTGGGTGTGAATTCCACATTTTTTCATAGAGTGCTGGCAGAAATAATATTCATAAAGCTATTTAATTATTTCATTGAAGTGGGAGTTGAAAATCAATTATATCTTCTTAAAAGATCCTTGTATGAGCTTTAGCAGTTATCAAGAATGTGATACATGATTTTTGATGATTACATATTGAAGATTAGTTTAAAAAAAGTTATTATGATTCATAAGTTTATTATGATACAAAACCATGAAAAATATTGATTTCATGCATGATTATACTAATAATGCCTTTTCTTTCCTTTGTCTAAATTCTTTCTATATTTCATTTTGTACAATTTTTTTTATTTCATCTAATTTTCTGACTGATGTATTTTTTCTTTAATAATTACAGAACGATGAGCTCCAGATATTCAGGAGAGTCCGGACGAATGCTATGCCGGTGCGGATTGCTATCCTTGTTACTCACGTCACACCAACAAACATAGCTACGTGCGACAGTTTCACATGTGCTTGTGGTGGGCAGACGGACTGGACAACTGTAAGTTCATTGGGTGGGCAGGCTTGGCAGACAAGCCGGCGGATTCTACGGTATCCCAAATAGAAAACATCGCTCAAGGTTTGACGGTATCCCAACTGAAGAACATCGCTCAAGGATGGACCATATCCCAACAGAACACTGTTGCTTGGGGTTTAACAGTATCAGGATAAGTTGTTTATCTGAATAAGCTGGATAAGCTGAAGCTGCCCCAAACAGACCCTTAGTTAGTGCAAGAAGAACCCAGATGTTGAGCTGACATACCACGATTTATCAAGCCACGATGGTCACAGGTTGTTTCTAGAGACGAGCCAAAAGGGCAGCCTTACAGATTGCAGATGATTCCCAAGTTTGAGCTGAAGTAGATATGCAGAGTACGAAAGTAAGAGTTTGAGCACTTTGTTGAGAATCAGGGAAAGTTTGTTAATATTTTAGAAGAACTCGAGTTGCACACCAAGTTATTTTTAGAAAGCGATTAAAGGATGATATTGGATTGCATGTTTGAATTAAGAGATAGAGGGCGAGCCGAATAGCTAAAGAAGAAGACATATTCAGAGTCGCAAAAGTGGATGAGGGAGAAAGGTAGAATTATCATTCAGTGTGGCTATTGCTATAATATCACAAAGTACAGGGAGGGGAAACCCTTAAGAATTCTAAGACATGATGAAGTGGATCCCATGTCTTCTATAATAAAGAAAATGATTAAGAGAATGATGACATGACGAGTTCTGCCAGCAAATTGCATCCCAAATAGCTGTATCATCAATATTTACAAAAAGGGAGACTGTATCCCGCCACACATCGATCCTCATGATTTTCTAAGAAATTGTATTTTCTCCATTTTTTATTCCTTTCCATTTTTTTTTGTGTTTGTGAGTTCTAAGATGAGACGTTCGTCCTTATGGGTTTTTTTGGATGACTTGTTAGTCGCTGTTAATTGGTATCACATATAAAATCCTGATAAAGACAATCAAGTTCTTCTCTTTTTTTTTTTTAAAGGCCATGGTTTTTTAGGTATTTTTGTATGACCTTTTTTTTGTGATATGGATATGTGACACGAATTTGATATTATGGCAACTTTAACTAGCTCCCAACGAGAATGATAAGAGTGAAATCAAATCAGACAACTTGTGGACTAGAAATTGCCAAAACTAGTGTGCAAAAGCCATGATCCTCATTTGCAAGTTTGCATTAACCTAGTATAAGAACCAGAAATAAAATACTTGGCCTTCAACTACATGTTAACAAAGCTTAAAGTTTGGCCAAACAACCAGAATACAATTACATTAAACACAGAAATCATCCGCCTTTAATAAGTTACAGCAGCAAAAATGGTAAAAGAACAACTCAGCTGACTAGGGCTGTTTGCTATCCGATTTCGAACCGAGCTAGAGTCGGCTTAAAACTGGCTTGAAAAAAAGTCGATCCAATCTCAATCTGAGCCAAAATTCGAATCATTTTTTGAGCGATAACAATTTTCAAGCTAAATTGGCTAAATTCATAGTCATATGTTGTTAATGATCTGATTTCGAGCCGAGCTGGGTTCAACTTAAAAAACATTGATCCAAAATTTTGACTTGCAGCTCGGCTCGTTTATCTCGATCTGAGCCAAAATTCGAAGCAATCTAACATCTTTGAGCAAAATTCACAACCAATTCACAGACGCAAAAATGCATGGAAAGTTATAAATTAACTTACTGCTCCGTTTCTTTTAGTTATATAATTATCGGCCTTCTTTACATCCTTAGTGTTAGGACTGAATTTTGGGAGCTGCCACTCAATTCATGTTAAGAGTTACTACAATGAAAGACTATGCCTGTGCCATGGAGCGATTGCTTTCTGCTTCTACCTTGGAATGATTGTTTTCTTTCTCCACTGGTGCGGAGTGTTTGGGTTCACTTCCAGCAATGCTCGGCGAAAATCCTTTCTTATCAACATCTCCCTGCACTGGAGTACCACTTGATCCTTCGACGGCAGAGCTTCGATTAGTTACTGCAAGAACTCGAACCACATCTGCACATATTGCTTGCAGCTGTAAGAGATTCTTGTTTAACCTGGAAGAGGCAGAACCGTTGCCAAAATACGACTGGAGAGCATCAGGGGTGTTGGCTTCAACTAATCTGCAGATCTGAAGCGACAAAAAAATAAAGGAGGAAAAAATAAGCAAATGAAGAAAGAAAATATAACAGAGGAAAACCTTCAAATTTGGCTACTTACAGCATTATAGAATTGAATAATCTGGTCGCGACCACTTATATCAGCACAAGCAGGTTCCTGTAAAGCTGTAAGCCATTCAAGTCAGTGAGAGGTTGGAGCATGCAACGGGACAAAATAACATGAAAAATTAGAGCAAGTCATGTATCCCTAGTAAAACGCTTTCACTGAAAAGAGTTGTATAAAATAAGCTTATGAAGTCCGTTTTGCAAAGACCAAAATTACCTCCACAATAATTCTAGTTTCTCTTGTATATAAATACTATACTAAACAAAACCGTAGCTGCATATCTACAGTATTAACTGTATATAACCTACGCTGAAAAAATAACTCACCTATTATATCATGAAATCAGAGTTAACCAAATCACAAAAGGAAAAATAAATATTATTACTGAAAACAAATAGGTGGTTACCATCAAACACACTTGAAAGGGTAAATTACAACAAACACGACAGAAACTCAAACTATATAGAAGTTAACCCATATCAACTGGGTGATTGGGGAATGGAGGTAGGTGGCTGAAATAGGTTGTGCGTAGTTGGGACAGCAAAAGGAAGGGCTGGAAGGGTGTCGGCAGCAAAGAGGAGCGGCCGGACAGCAGCGAATTGAATGGGAAAGATGGTCTTCGGTTGCGGCAACAAGGGAGGAGGTCATCGACATCAAATTGGAGAAGTTGTGACAAGGGCAGCAGTTCAAAATGCGAGAAACAGCTGGCCAGGAGGCTGGAACAGTAGAAAAACAGCCAGGAACGACTGTTTCTGGGTGGCGACAGTGAGCAGGAAGGCGGTAGCAGCAAGGAAGGCATGGCACCGCGGGACATGACAGTTTCGGCATCGCGGTAACCAGGAGAATGGCTGGACGACGAGGAACTGCAGGAAGCACAACGAAAAAACTCTTGTCGGGGTGACTGTAGCAAGGACGAAGGAGTGGGGAAGGGATAAAGAAGATAATCACAACGTTGAGACCAAGATATAACCGAAACACCACTTGGAACCCTATGGTATAACAAAGGGAAAAAGAGATGTCGACGGCTATCTCGATAAAAAGCACGAAAACTAACCCTAGAATAACAAAAATAGAATTATATAATAAGAGGAGAATTAAGACAGGAACCAAATCCAATTGGGATGGCGAGGAACGACAAGAATAAAAGGAATCCTGTCGGGGTAGCTGTAGCGAGGAAGAAAATGATAGTGAACCAAGAGGTATGCAGGAAGGGATGCAGAAGATAATGACCACTGTGAGACCCAGATACAGCTGAAACACTACCTGGAACCCTTGACTACAACCCTCGAAGGGAATAGGAAACGCCAGCGGCTATCCAGACACAACACAAAAAAACTAATCCTAGAAAAGAAAAAAAATACAAATATATAATAAGAGGAAAAATAGGAGTGAGCCCCACTCCAATTAGGCGTAAAATCCAAGGAAGAAAGTATTCTTACTTTGAAAAATTGAGCCGAACCAGCCCAGAGCGAACTCCCTCTAGATGCAATGCGGGAGACTTACGACCGTGTCCATCACCCGTGATTGGAGGAATTTCGACCTCATTTGTTAAAGTTTCTATCTGTGTTGAGAGTGGCAGAGCTTTTGTGACCTCCCGTGGTTGAAGTCTTCAACTAAGGTCTGAAAAGCACCTGAATTCCATTGGCGACTGCACTATTCTCCAAATCACCAAAATAGTTTTCCCTTGTTGCAAGCAAACATCCATATTGATCCAACCATCTGATGGTAGACTACTAAGCTAAGCATGAATTCAACACCAAGTGTATTCTGCTGACTTCTTCAAAAGCAACCCAAGGTTGGTTTAACATGATGTGAGGTGAGGATAGTCTGAATCTTCTTGATGGGTGGTGGCTAGGGCGGTAAGCTATCAACCAGGATGTCCTGAAAGTCTTTTTGTACTGAGTGTCCCCCCCCCCAACAGCTCTTCTCTCTCATGTTCCCTTGTCATCCTTAAGACTGCTCCTCCTGACACTTCTTGGACTCCTTGGAAGGTGGAAAGAAGATGTGCTTGACATCTTTGATGAGGAAGAAGGTTGAGCCCTATGCTCATGCTGCCACGGTCTCCTTAGCAAAAGGTGGTAGTATCCATGAGCAGTATGGTCACACAAACATGAACCCGCAGTTGGCTCCCAATCAAGAACTCCACAAAACACTTATCAATAGTGACCCTATTCTCCTTCTTCAACCAAATTAGGGAATATGGTTGGAAATGCCTTCAAGTTATGAAGCTAAATTTGTCTACCTTCTATGTAAGTGTGTCATGTTCATGTTGTTCCTTCCATCGATGATGAGATTGCATACTTTTCCCTTCACAGTGCAATGAGTGTAGAATATATTGTGGCAAAGATACTGTTGATTTCTTACAGCCTCAATATGTAGTCACAAGCATTTCTCCCTCATCCGGTAAAATATGATACTCATCCTATTCTTCAGCTGCCTCTTCATCGCTAACTTCCCAGCACGGTGAAAGACAAAAAACTCGTCGGGCAATTACAAGAGATGTGTCCGAAATCATGACACTTGAAACATTTCCTGCTAGTGGGTTTGCTACTCTTCTCAGGCTGCTTCTCACTCGGAGCGGTTCTGTCATGTTTCTACCTAGTCTACTCTATTCCCTGAGGTGTGGTCCGCCCGAGGTCTCCAACAATGAGTGGCTCACTTGAAGTCTCCAACTATGAGTGGTTGTCCGACTGACGATGGTTATCTGCTCTGCTTTTATTGTCTTGCTACTTTCAGTACTAAAGTCTACAGCTGGACCACATTACTGATGACAGATTCAAGCTACTCAAGTATCTAGCTATGGTTTGCTCCACTGGCTCGTTCAGTTCACACTTCAATTTATGCTGCAAATCAGTAGAATTTGAAGCTGGTGATTTTGTATTTTTAAATGTCAGGCTAAAGAATGGTACAGTCATATTTGGTCAGGGAAGCAAGTTGAGTCCTAGATACATCGATGCTGCTTACGATAAGTCTCTCAAGGTGGATAGTCCTACGCTTGCTGTCACTAGACCCTCTGTGGCTTGTATGTTAGTTGAGAGAGATATCACTCAACCAGCTCCAGATGAGATATAGATTGACACTATGCACAACGGGTATTGACAAAATGTTGAAATAGAATCACATCCTCTTTATTGCTCTCGTTGTAGTATGTTTGGTCACAACTCTACTATTTGTTATCGTTTGCATCCTCATCTAAGGCTGAATATCGCTAAAAAACAATCACATACTATCCCTGCTGAGAAGATGCAACCCGATCATTTTCCCAACACCGCAGTTCCTAAAGAAGAACAACATACTACAACTACAGATCCGGTTGTGCTAATACCACTCATTGTTATTGAAGAAGACTCACACACATGCCAAGGCACACGAAAGTGCTCCTTTGATCCAATAACAGATCAGCCGGTACAACATGCAGTTGCTTCTAATGTCCATTAATCTGCACATCTCAAACACATTTTAAACCAAGATCAGGTGAGTCAATCTTCGGAAGAGGAATGACAGGTCTATTCCAGGAGGAAGAAGAAGAATGGAGGCCGACTCCAGCTCGGGAACATATTGGATGATACATTGGTTACTACTGGCAATGACAATCATCTTACCAACTTATTAGCTTGCTAGGCAAAACAAAATTGGATTGCTCTCTAGCCACCTAATACTATGTATTTCTGCATTTTTAAGCTTTTTCTTTGTCTCTAATGTACTTCTCAGTATTTTCTAATTGTGGAATCCCTTGTGGTTTTGTTGTGAGCAGGGTGTCATGTTTGGGCCCTCCATCACATTGTATCTGAATCTTTTTTTCTAGTTAATATATTATCCAAATATATGTGAATGAATAATGAAATGAAATGTATAAAGTACATTTGCGGCGATTTAAATAAACTAGTTCATCACTTACTGGGTCATGATTCTGCAAGTCAGAACGAGTGTAATGAGAATTTAGTCTGACTAAATTACCCGATTTTATCGCACCATAGCCGACCCTTAAGGGGGACTAGTTAGAGTTTGACAAGATCTGAAAACAATGCTTTTGAAGTTTAGATATAGCTCAAGACCTAAGCTTAAAAGAGAAACAACACAACATAACAATAAATCACTGGAGAAGACTTTTCCACTTACCTTGGATTTTACATATAACAAATATTTCCTGTACATAAAACCATTTCTTCTTATATTTAAAATATATATTTTGCTAAAATACCCAGAACTTAAAAAATTACTTTAAGGGAGTGGAACTATGACTAAAAGGGATTTAATTTTTTTTTTTTTAACAGGACAACTTGAACGTGAGTGAACTAATATAAACCTCGATATTAGTGTTGAAAATGAAGTGATATCGGAGTTAACTAAAACCACAATAGAAATAAAAATATTAGCTAGATTCAAATAAGGTTACAAGAATGACTCCTCAAACGAAAATAAATGACAACATAAAAAAACACAAGCAAACACCCCTAAAGTGTAGCCCAAAGTGGTGGAGGTCAGCTAGGTGGATCGAGATGGCGAAAGTGGCCGCAACAAATGAATGTAGGTGGCAGTGAGGGGGAAGTGCAGAAATGCAGCGCAATAAGGAAGATTTCTTGGGTGATGACAGCGAGAAGAAAAGGTGAATAGCAATTGGACAGTAGGAGAAAGGCATGTCCTGGCTGAGCGGCAGCAACACAGTGGGAAGGCTGGGGGGAGGTGTGGTTTGGGCGGCAAGAATACTGAAAGGGAGGGGGCGGTGGCTAGTAGGCGAATAACTACAGAAAAAGCAGCCCGAGGGCTATTGTGGGCGGCTTCAAAAGGTACGGCGGTAGGACAAAACGGATAATGGCAGGTGGTAAGAGCATATGAGAAAGATGGTAGGGAGGAAATCATAGAGGATACAACACCACCTCGTAGCAGGATATAGCTGGAGCACCACTTGTCATTGGATACAACCCTCGCAAGGAAAAACCAGGACTTCTACATAAATTTGAAAAGAAAACTCACCAAAACATAACCCTAATTCAGAAAACACAAGCATATATAATAGCTAATAGATAAAATAGGAAGGCAAAATTTCTTCTTTGGGAGACAACCAGAAAGGGAGGAAGAAGCGGGAAACAAAAAAACCAAAACTATTTTGGCGGCCATTCTCCGTCTCCCACTATATGTTTTCTCGCTGTACTGTAGTTGGTACAATACCGCGAGAAAACCCTGCGGGAAAAAGCTCCCGCATTAAGAAGAGAACGAGAAAGACGAAAGAGATGATGTGCATGAATTTGATGAGAATGGTAATTCTGAAAATACATCAGTTGAGAACAGTTCAGATGTTATTTAAAGCATCATTGCCACAATTAAACTTAACTGCAAAAGAACTTATATCTTTCAGACATAACTGTTGCTCACGAAAATTGGTGTAAACTATGATTGTAAGTACTCCTAACGAACTAAATAAGCATTCACAAATCTTAAACTAACATGCTCTCAGAAAAGAGAATAGAATAGAAGGGGTATTATATGCCATTGTTATATTGAATGAAAATGTGACTGCAAGAGTGTTTGTGCCTAATAATTCTAGCCAATTATTGCATAAAATGTAAAAACATTTACATATCTAGAAGTAACATGCTTTCAATGCTTACGAGTCCTCAAGCATAAAAAAAATGAAGTGCTCCTAACGAACTCACTAAACTTCAAGTACTTTGAACTTGCATGCTTTTAAAAAGGAGAGAATGGCTGAGAGAGTATACATGCATGAATAGTAGAATTGAACAAAAATGTGACGGAGAGTGTCTATGCCTAAGAATGCTAGCCAATTAGTACTTGAATTCAAAGAAACTATCTGGTTGATTTTCATGATGAAGTACCTCCCCGTCAGGGTTATGCAAATTACGATTAACATGATTCTTATACTAATATTAACCATTTTATTGCATTACAGATGAATCCTACTGAACATGTTAAATTTAAGAGTCAAGTGAATAAATTAGATAGGAAAGAATTGATTACAGAGAACATTAAAAGTGAAATAACAATTTTCCCAGGTCCAACTGGAATTAGATGAGCATTTCCTTTTAACATAATGAGGATAAAAAGTATTAACATTTAAAAGTATTCCAAATCACATGACTAAATCGATAATACATACCAATGGGTTCCAAAATCGGCAATTCTTTGAATAATGAGAAAGGGTCCGTTGGTTCTGGAATGAGAAGTTCAGTCACCATAGGGCCAGCTGAATCTGGACTTGGATCAGAAAGTTTCGCTCCGCACTAAGAAATTGAAATACAAAGCAAGTTAAAACTCTAATTTATGATATAAATGATATGACATGTAAAAAGTAATACCAATATAATATATAAATATATAGATGAATAGATAGATAGATAGATAGATTAATGTATGTATGTATGTATTATGCATATAAGCATGCATGTATGTATGTATATATAGAGAGAGAGACACACACACGCAACTGCACAAAAATTATTACAATCATTCAAATCTATGAAGTGACTAATAAGTCATATGTGAAAGTAGCATGAAGAAAATAGATAAGTTACAAACATAAAAACACAATAAATGAGTTCCAGACAGGATTCGGGCTTGAAATTACTGAAAAAACAGGAATTTCTCCGCAATTAGCATTACATTCGCTCTCAATGATAAGAAAGCTGTATAACAACTACATTTAAATAAAATGCTACGGCAGTCTTCCTTTTTTCCAATGTATTTAAAAATCCAAGCCACAAATCAGATTAATATTTTTCCTAGATGTTTAGTTCTTCAGTAGTAAGTTCACTGACGCATCTCTTACAGTAATTTTCCAGTCTAAAGTTCTGAGGGTTAAGGGATGGTATAAAGGGTGCTTGTGTTACACGAAACAGGTTTATCAAAGCTGTAACTTTTCCGCTTTAATATATTAGCCCTTGGGCTTTTTCTAAAAATAAATAAATAAATAAATAAAATATCTAAAAATTGTAGTAACCATCAACCGGAACCACATGATTTATATAAAAGCATTGTTGTGTTTTTTCACTGCAAAAACAATGTACTTATTTTCCACTGCCTACTTGCATTCAAAACGTCCAATTAAAACACCTATCTTTCTGAAGGGAGGATTCCTTCATAGTGGCCATCAAGCTCATCAAGCTCAGTTCAATATTGCATACGATCAAGCTGATGATGACAATTATTTCATTTTGAATTTGACTCTAGAAGTTAGATATCTAATGGGTTTTTATTTATATCCATCATTCAATTGCAATGATTGATCATGGCATTTAATACAATCTAAGTTGGTTATCAGCTTGGACCTATAATAATCAGCTCAAAATCAAATTGTGCCTCAAGTTAACTCAATTTTGAGCTGACAAGCCTCAAAATTAGTTTGACTACAAGTTGACTCAAATCAAATAATTTTTATATTATATGCTTATGCACACATATCTATACAAGTATGCACACACATGCTAGTTCATATTTAAAGATGAATGCAAACCTACTTATGTGTGCCCAACCTGCTTCGAGATCGGCTCCAAAATCAGTTGGGTTGACTTCCACACTTATGCTTATACAACAAAGTATGATCAAACATAGTCCAAAATTAAGGCCCTCTCTACTGTAAGAATTTTGATTGAAAAATATATTACACTACCAGATATAGAAGAAGTCTGGCTTGACTCTGCTCACAATGGTTATTGATAAAAAATCATTATGGAACAAAAACCTTACGACTGCAAGCACTGCAAGATGTTAGAACACCCACAGGAAACATGTTTCAAATTGCACCCACAATTGAGAACTAATAGTCAAAAGCAAGAACATGCTGCACCCCACGTGCCTGAATGCGCTCCCAACAAACTTGATGACAACCAACCTGAGGAGGGAATCAACACAAGACAGGAGTTGGTGTCTGCCCCTGGGAACCCTTCTCCTGACCATATTACAACGGATAACGTTCAGACCGAAAATCAGGATAGCCCCGCAGCTTCGATCCAGGAAGCATCAGGTGCAGAGGTGACAATTCACACTTCACATACACTGGAACCTATCGTTGTAGCAATGACTGCCTTTAGGGCTGTAAACGAGCCGAGCTTGAGAGAGCTCAGGCTTGGCTCGTGTTCGACTCGTTTTCGGCTTGTTCGAAATAGCTCGTGTTCAAAATCGGCTCGTGAATAGTGTGTTCGCGTTTGTCTTGATTAAAATATTCGTGTTCGTGTTCGGCTCGTGTTCGGATTGAAATTGGCTTGCACTAACCACATTGCCACACAAGGTGTTATGATTTAAATATAGACTTAAATATATATAGCATTGGCACATGGGTGTTATGATTTAAACTTAGATATAAATATATATAATATATTATTATATAAATAATATATGTAATATAAAACGAGCCGAACACGAGCGACAAAGGAGCTATTCTTGTTCGGCTAGTTTATAATTCGAGCTTTAAAAGTTTGTTCGTGTTAGGCTTATTCGTTAAGTAAACGAGACGAACACGAGCTACTTAATGAGCCGAACACGAGCTGTTCGCGAACAACGAGCTTTTTTGACAGCCCTAACTACCTTTCCTTCTACTGCGGTTCTAATATCTTAATCAGACCGAGGATCACATGAGCCAGTCTTCTGATGAAGGATGGCAGCTTTACACTTCTCGACGGAAGAAGAAAGTTGGGGGCACACTCCAACTTGAAAACTTAATGGATGATATTTTGGTTACTCCGGGCAATGACACGACTCTTCAAAGTTTGTTATCTGGCTCCGCTCTTAAAACTAGAGGAAGAGGCATGACTAAACTGGTTCGTCCCTAGCTGCTTGTTTTCTGCAAATTTTAATTTTTTGAGTCTATTTGTATCTTTTTGTTGGGATATTACTATATTGGGCCCTCTCATACAACCTTTCAATAAAATCAGCCATTGGGCTTTTCAAAAAAAAAAGTCCATTTTAACCCATGTTGATTCACAATTTTTATGAATCTTTCCAACAAAGCTCAATATGATTATTTCAGCTCATAAAGTGTTTTTTTTTTTTGTATGCTATGCATGTCTCTTCGTAGTCAGTGATCCTTGAAGGATGATTTGCATAAGATTTCTCATGTAAGTCATCATTTAATGGATTCTTAACACCCAGTTGATGAAGTGGCCGATCAAGATTGCTTGCCATTAAAAAGGAACCCAAAGGTTATTAAAATTTTCATGACATTAACAAACATTTTAAAATAAACAATCCCATAAGTTAGGGTTAATTCTTTCACAACCAATCATGTTTAATATCTTTTATGTATCCATAAGATTGATATATCACATTAAGGATCCATTTTATCCTTTGTTCTTTGAATAACTTCTATATTTCACTTCTTTATCCTCATTAACTGTGTCTCTCCGTTTATGATTATTAAGGGCAGTTTCTATTGTCATCAAAATTCAAATCACTGTTAGATTGGAAAGCCTTTTATAGGAAAATTAGTAGTACCATCAAAAAGAAGATATTATGATTGCACCTAGTTTGAGTAGGATTCAAGATAAGCTTCAGAAGGTAGAATGGTCTTACTTATTTGTAGATTCCTCCTTCCAGTAAAGGTAATTCAATGGGATTCATGGGAACAAGTAATAGGAGTTTCAGTAGCCTCCATGTTGTTGGGTTGAGGAAGGTTGATGTTGATGCTATTAGTGAGTTTCAGAATTTCATGAGAAATAATGTTAAAAGGAAACTCTCTTAATATTTTTATTTATCAAAGAAAAAACATTTAACCCTTCAAAATTATCACATATGCAATTAATTTTAAATTGATTTTTATTAGGATTGTGTTTATAGACAAATAAATTCACCCAAAAAGCTTAGGAGATTGTTCAGTTGGTGGAACTAGAAATGCCCTGCAAAAGGAATGCAGAGGTGCTTAATACGCTAATTATCTATCGGGTAAAAAAAAAAAAGCAAACGCCATGCAAAATTTCAATACATTTGGAATTCACTATCTAGTTCAATTTCTTAGTATTTGAAAGTTCGTGAATTTGGGTGAATTCTAAATACATTATCTTTGTAAAATGTTTGGTATGCCACCACCCATCGGTCACAACCTTTTGCTCCATTTAGTTGCCGACCAACTACGATTGTTTTTACAATTGGCCACTAGCCACCACCGCCACTAAGTACCACTCGTCGTAGCCCTCGACCGGTTGTCGCCTGCCACAGGTTGCTCATTGTCAGCTGCCACTATGCTCTAGCCCCACGAGCCATCGATTGCTAATCCAAACCACTAGCCTCCATTGTCATCACCACCACAAAGTATGCCCGCAACCACACTCGTCAAATATGTCTGTCGTCCAAGCCACTTACAGAACACAATGCATCGCTTAGCCAACCGTCACCCATCGTTGTCTGTCGCCCATCGGGTTTTGCTTTAATTCATTTTCCTTTAAACCAAACACAAAAATAAGTCCATACATTTATTTTATACATGATCAAATAAATTCAAAATATTTCAAATACACTACAATTCAATTACACCGCATTTTTTTATATTGCATTTTTCTTTTTAGCAAACAAAACAGCCATTAAGTGAAAAATTAAAAAATGATACAAGTATTAAGAAAGCATTTGAAAAATATATTGGAGTTTTGATTTAAAGTGAATTTGTAGGCAGCATAATTATGAGATGGAAAGCAATTAGGATGGCATCACGCTAATAATATATGGAAATGTTAATAATGAACATAATAGATAATAAATCTAGCCACATCTTAAAGATATCGTCTTTTTTCTTTTTTGGGTTGAGCAAAGACCATTTTGTTTCCGTATCGAGGGACAACTTTAATAGATAAAACTAGTCTAATTTAAATAACCTCCTAGAATGAGGTTAAAAACTTACCTCTATTACACCGAAGTATTTAGATTTCAAGTTGTGTTAAAAAATTACCTTTTTAACAAATATAGATAGCACACAAGTGTGACAAAAAATAAGAGTGATGAACCATCATTTGGAGTTCGAATTTGAGATTTGGATGAATCCTAGCTTTGGTGGCCTTATATATTGTTTAAGTTTAAAGATTATTCTTCTATATTTGGCATGCTAACAAATTTTAAATTGAAAAACTTTTTAATACCAAAAAAAGAAATAAATAATTTAAAAGATTTAAAAAATAGAATGGCTTTTTTTCAAAATCATAAAATCATTTTGATAAAAATGGCACGATTACTCTCTTTAGATTTATAAATATAATGCTCGCTAACACTGCCAATCTCTTCACCAAACTCTAATCCTTCTAGA